GGCGGCGCTCCGAGTGGGGTCATCTGGCAGTCTCCGGCCACCTAAATTAGGACCCGGAGACTGCCAGATGACCCCGCTCGGAGCGCCGCACACCGGAGCAGCAGTGAAGCGACGCTCGGCGGGGTAAGTAAGAAGACGCGCTGGCGCTGACTCGAGTATAAGCCGAGGGGGGCACTTTTCACCCAAAAAAATGGGCTGAAAATCTCGGCTTATACTCGAGTATATACGGTAAATAAAGGGATGCACAGATACCAGTTTTGCGAGTACGAGTACTGATACTTGCCGAGTACTTACAAGTACGAGTACTGATACATTTTTGTTTATTGTCATGTGACAGTTTTTCTAAAACAATACAGACTAATGATTTCAGGACAGCGGTGGAGTGCCAGAGCCCGGTCCCAGCTGCAACCGCTGCAACCATGATAGTTCTCATGAAAATGCCAAGTATCTGCATCGGTACTCGAAAAGTATCTGTGCATCCCTACTATTTATAAAGCTATACACCTTACAATTGGCGTTTGATTTCTATCGTCCCGTCATCAAACCCGCGTTCGATTTATGCATGACTGCCCCATCATGCACAGACCAAGGCACCACACCCCTAATTAGTATAAGAAACAAAAGAAAGAATGGCTACAAAGGACCCCGGGGATTTCAGGTGCCACAAAAAGTATGATTACCAAGATGCTGATAAAAAGCTTAATTTTATTTATGAAAAATAATTAAGGAACATTTACGTTTGTTTAGGTATCCTTTAGGTATGTTGTTTATCCAACGAGGATCATGGCAACTGTCTATGGATATGTATCCATTTTTATCAGCTGTTTTAGTGGATACATTTGTGATTCATTCACCTGTGGACTCATTCACTTGTGGATATGGACTTTTGTGGCATGTCCATAATGGACTGTATCGGTTGTAACACTTTTTAAATAGTGGATTATAGTGAGCACTTTTCACAATCTGTTTGGAGGATTAATATATCACCATTTGTTGTTATATATCTACCTAGTTAAAATATTGATTGCATTTAAAAATATTTTTTGGTATATATTCTTTGATAGCGCAGTGCACTTTATTATGGCTTATTATTCATGTACTTAGCACAACAGCTAATATTATTATAGTGGTTCCTTAGCGCAAAATTATTATTTGTTCAGTTGGGTGCAATAGCCAGCCTGCTATTGCAATAGCAGGCTGGCTATTGCCCCCAGCCACTGCGGATTGCCCCTGGCTTTCTACCGCTGGCAGTTTAATGGGACAGGCGGGGGACATTCCGTCTGAATTTCCAGAGGTGGAGGTTATATGGCTATGACCAAATCTTTAGTAAAATTTAGATTCTTTAGTCATTTTGAAGCAAAAAATTGGAAACATCAGTGAATTCCCTTTAATGTGTTTTCAATGTTTTCTTTTCTTTAAATGCTATTAATACTTTCTGTGCCCTATTAAAAGCTTAGCTGCACAGGGTGTTGGGAGGTGGTAACAGACCGGAAGTGATGAATGAGAAAGGACTTGACCATATGGTGTGGAGGGGAACATGGCAGATACAGAAGAGAAAATTGAAGAGGTGGACATGTGGTCTCTGAGGAAGAAGACTCCACTATGACCATTGATGAGCCTGGGCTTGGTGTAAAACAAGTTCGCCAGAGTTCACCCAAGCTGGCTCAGAACTGACTGCCACCCTCTCCTCCCGACCCAAAGAGTGTTAAAGTAGCATTCCCTGTCCCTTTGTGACATATAGCTGCGGATATGCTTCCCCAAAACGGATTGGGTTGTAAGGAGTGGGTGTCTGTGGAGTTTTGAGTGGGCTTGGACGAACTAGGTTTGCACCAAGCAAAGCCTTATCACTATTTTTGACCATGCAGTAGTTAATGTAGTTTGTCGTTAATGCATCAGCCATTAACTACAAAGTCCCTTATTTAAATTATTTTTAAATGGGTTATTTTACAGCCTTTTATTTGGTGAATAAAAAAAACAAAAAAAAAAACGTATATAGTGTTCTGAAAAACATGAGTCAAAAGGGCACCTTGCATTTTTTTTTCATAACCAAGATGTGTTACCTCGAACATATATAATAAAGCATAATTACATTAATATTTTTGTTCTCCCAATTATCTTGAGTGACTCAAAGGGACCTTTTTCTGCCACCATGATTTGGAAAGAGAAGAAGGATCCAATGACCTAAGCTGAATTTTGCTGGTTCAGGTGAGGCCCCTCACCCATCTAAACTAGCTAATAGGGCTTAGGAGACCACAGACAAGCTTGAAAAGAATTCAGGGACACTAGCTAAATAGTCTACAAACCTCCCAGACTAGCTTTCCTACTTAGCAGTAGCATTTCAATCTGTTGAACCTGATCCTAAAATGGGGGACCAAAACAAGGTAAGTCCTGATCATGGGGCCACATTCTCCCATGTGGAGCCAGAATACCTGCATCTGGGTTTGCTGAACCCCTGGGGTGAGGATCAGTTGACCCTCTGTAAGGTGTTTGCGGTGAAGCAGAAATGCAATACCACGCTAGAAAACCCCAGGGTAATGTGAGGAATGACTTCATAGATCATGATTTTGCCATTCCTTTTGCCTTGTATATTTTTCCTTTAACTGGGGTATTAACATTATATATCATGAAATGAACAGCTTTATGAATTAAGGCTAAGATTGACTCTGAAGGTAGAATAATTTTTCTTAATAGGGAGATATTTGCTGTAACCTGTGTACTCTGGAACAATTGGCTAGCTAAATGCCCACTAAACTCCCCTAGAAAATAAAAAGTTGGTCCAATACCATAATGATTTCTCCTCAACCCCAAGATAAATACAGACACATCTTAGTTTATTGCTCTTCAGATTTTATCCTTTATTGGCTACACACAGTCCTTGCTTAAAAGTCCTTAGCAATTTTTTTTATGAAAAAAAAACCAACATCAAAAACAAACTTATAACCAAGAGACTGGATATGCAGAAAAACCAAATGGTGAAAAATGCATCTACATTAACAATCACATGATCCTGGGCTGTCTCTTTAAAATAAAATGCTGATGTGTAGATACCAATTTACATAAGCAGGTGCTCAGAAGATACCTATAACAAAATCAGAGCACTTTTCCAAGGTACATTGTAATTATAATTGCAATTCCACCACTATCCAAATACAGACAGGAAGGCCTCATTTCAGACTTTAGATTAATGGGGTTTCCTATTTTAACCCTAGATTTACCCAATCATCAAAAATGGTTTTGGGAATTATGCATTTTCTTCAGAGCTACAGGGTTCCTAATATAAGTCACCCTGAAAGATTTGCCATTTATTTAAAGTCTGCTGTATGTAAACCCAATCACTAAAATCTCATAGTTTAACATAATCATTTTAAAAGTAATTTTCAATATTTTTAAATCTGCAGCTTTCATTAAAATAATACCTGGTGATCTTACAAGTTCTTGTTCAAGCATTTCCTGTTACAGCATCTCAACATTCTGTCCCAGTTTCCCAAATGTAATCTTACATTGTCATTCTGTTACATGGACTTTGGATGGAGTGTAAAATGGCTATTAGAGCACACATTACATAGGCGTAGTCTACTGTTCCCACTATTAGAACACCCACCCTGCCAAGATGCCATTGCTGAGGTGCATGCATGCAGAAGTGGCAACAAAGAGGCCGCAGGAGGTCAGCATCAGTGAGATGCCATAAAAAATGGAAAAAAAGGTAAAACATTTTTAGGAAAAAAAAAATTAGAGTTGTTTATGATACAGATTGCTTTAGCAAAACTAAATTTAGTTAAGGTTTGCATATACTTTAAGAATATAATGCAGAATTATGAGCAGCCAGCTCAAGGTTGTTTTTGTTATTTTCAGGGCTTCAGGTTTTCTTTTATGGCTTCAGAAAATGTAAAGGTTACTGTTAAGTAGAAGATTAGAATTCAGGTTCTGGAGGCAGCTGAAAGCCACTATGAATGGGTTTCTGGTATGTAACCATCTAATATATTAAAGTTACACTGAGTTAAGTGAAACATTACAGTGTGGTAGTTCTGTTATTTCTATAGAATATAGGCACGAATTCTCCTTTAACGTGTTATTACTATGCAGTTACAGACAGTATGAGCCCTTAAAGTCTTTTACCCCACCTTAGTATTTTTAGTAAGAAAAATGCACCTTTGTTTTCATCTCATATTTGTACGCAAGTCAATTTTTTCAGGAATTTTTACAGTTATTAGAGAGGAGTATTTATTTGTTTTCAAAAGATTCTCCTTAGCCAGAAGGAGCTACCATGAATCATTACATATTTTACATATTTATAACTATAAATCTAAAGTGATTCAGTATTTTTTTTTTTTATGGGATTTTCTGTCTAACCTGCTGCATTTTTTACTTTGCAGTAAACACAGAACAAGAATGCTTACAGTCAGTTGTGACACAAAATAGCAAAAACATTTCATATAAACTTAAAAAATGGAAAATCATTGGCCATGAGTAATTTGCAAAATGTAAAAACAGGTATCTCCTTTCTACTTCCGAAGATTCTAAGATCATTGGAAGATATGAGTATAGATTTGACTTTGCTCATGGTCAGTTACTGTTTTGTGAAGTCAGCTCTTGAGAGATGAAGCGTTTCAGACGTTCCAAATATTGGCTGTACAACTCAATGTCGTTATGCCCAGCACCCTCTACCCAAAGAGGTTCAACGGTTTTAGGACAACGTTCATAAAGGGCCAGACCATGGGAGAAATCAATCACTTCATCTTCTGTCCCATGAATGATCAACACTGGCGATGTTATCTTGGAAACTTTTTCAATGCTACCGGAAAAAGAAAGGATATAAAATTCAAATTAGTAAAAGTGAAACTATCAAAAAATTTTGCAATGACCATAATATTTTATTTAAGAAGTTGAAGGGTATGTATAGCCAAAACTTTTTTTTCGTTTTGGAAAGAATGTGGAAATATAACAACCCTTGTCCAGGAATACTTATCTTCCTACCAACTGTATGGCTGCTCCCAAAAAACAGATTCTCTTTGTCTGCCTTGTGGGCCCTCTGAGTATGAAATGTGAGGACATTTGAATCACAACGACATGAAGTTGTGCAGAGAAAGGTCAGTATTCCTCTGCCAGGTGGAAAAGGGTAAGTATTCCTCTGCTTTCAACCTCACCTGGACTAAAGATGCCTTTAGCCCTTGACCATACTGATTAACTTTTATTTGTGAGTTCAGCTTTAAGCCAGAAGCATCTAAGAGCTTAGAAGGGTAAGCAGAAATGTAACAGGTACTACTCTAAGCCAGCATCATTAAGTGAATATGGAGCTTATGCATTCTTTAGCTGATGAGTAAACTGGAATTTGAACCCCTTGGCACCAGCTATCACTAGGGGTTCTAAACAAAAGGAGATGGGCTTTCCAATGATGTGACCGTTGTGATTGGCTGTCACATGATATGGAGCCCAACCCACTGGTTCCCATTTGTACAGTGACTGGGAGCAGTAGGTGACACTTTGGTAACTCTGCTGGGAACACGCAAGTGAGTATGCTCACAGCAAAGAACAGCGGGCTGGCTGATGCATATAGCAAGTGTTAAGGCCCACCCAAAAGTGAGAATAGCGCATAACAAATCAGCAATGGAAGAGTAAAAGAGCATGGAGATCCCGTCATTTGCTTTTATTGTAAAAAGCAACCTAAAGAGACTATGTTAGAAATTTGTTTGGTCCCGAACAAGTTACTATACCAACGACAGTTCTAATAATATGATCATGCTAGCATTCATTTATGGACTATGAATGTACTCACTAGATATAGACCTATTCGCATTGTATGATTCATGAATTGTAATCAATTTTTACCCTTATTTATCTGTATGTTTAAAATACATTTTGATACTTTTATACATGCATGGTCTATTATACCTCTCCGGAAACCCTATTCTTTTTCTAATTTTCCTACCCTTTTATTAACCACTTGAAGACCAAGTATTTACATTCCTTTCCTGGCCAGGCCATTTGTCAGTATTCAGCGCTGCAGTACTTTGACTGACATTTATTTAGTCATGCAACGCTGTACTGAAATTACTTTTAGTACTATTTTTTGGGGAGTAAGGCCGGGGAGTGAGGCCAGCATGGCAGCCCTTTGGCCTTCTGGGCCTGGCTCTAGTCTTTTGCTGTCACGTTTCTGGAGTTTTTCCTGCTGATGTGTTTTTCACTGCAGATCCCTGCCTGATAGTTGCTTCCTTCCTTCTGCATGAGCCGTTCACCACGATTGCAAGAAGAGCCATCTGCTTTAAGGTAGGGGACCACCGAACGGGTGAGTAGAAAAAAAAACGGGGGACTAAAAGAAAGCTTTTTGGCTGCTATTTTGTCTCTCATAGTTGAGGTCTACCTATGATGCCAATTACAGGCCTCTCATCTTTTTAAGTGGGAGAACTTGCACAATTGGTGGCTGACTAAATACTTTTTTGCCCCACTGTATCTTTAACTTGGTGTTATAAGTTGCACTGGGTAAATACAGCTGGATTAAAAAAAAAAAACTGTGTCTGTCTTCATTTCAGGCCGCAAAGCAACAAAATGTGATTATTTTGAAGGGGGTGATTCTTTTCTATACCCACAGCATTTGGATTTTTTTATAGGCCTTGTGTCTTTTAAAGGTTCAATGTGGTTACAAACACCTGCAGTGCTGTTGTTTTTTTAGAAAAAGATGTTTTTCATCTTAACCACTTCCCGGGCCGCAATACGTCCATAGACGGTGAACCGCAGAAGTGGTTAAAACAAGAACACGGCTGCTTCTTGGTATCGTTTTAAACAGCAGAAGATTGCTGTTAATGTACAAGCGATCGTTGGTACCGTGCAGCGCCCTCCCCCCGTCGGCTTCCCCGGGCACCGATGTCCCCGTGCGGCGCCCGGGAGCGGCGGGTCCCCCCGCAATAATCGGAGTGAGAGTCAGCGGCTTTCAGCCTCTCCTCCCATCACTGGACCCAGAAGTTGTGTACTACACAGTCTCCGGCTCTTAGAGCCAGGAGAAGAAGCTGGGGAAGCAGATCTGTACAGCAGTGCAGAATAATATGGGGTGGTGGCCTGATGTCTCCAGGGTCTCAGGTGGGCTGTGCAGGGTCTATGGTGGGCTGTGCTGCCTTTTAGGTTGCTGTGCGGGCTCTATTGAGGGCTGTGTGGCACTCACCAGTGGTCCGGAGGCTCTTGTGGGCGGGTGCAGGCAGTGGGGTTCCCTTGGAAGGACAAGATGTGCGTCCATCACTGTAAGCAGTGCTGCGAGGTCCCGAGAAAGCTGCCGTGAAGTCCCCAGGGATCCTTACGGCAGCCTCTTCCATTTACAGATGAAAGCGACGGTACTCATGAAAATGCCCAGTATTGGCACTGATGCCGATACCGGTAATAGCAGGTGAGGTTCTGCCTCACTGGTTTGGGGGTGGGGGTCCCCCCCCCCCCCTTTGAAAGTGCCCCCCAAAGAAAAAGCCT